GCATCCAATTTTATGTGGGGGTAGGGCTCAAACCAGGTCTTATCATACCTCTACCATTTTTTAAATTTTTAATTAAAAAAATTTTTTTTTAATTTTTAAATTTTTATTTTAGTTGTTTGAGGTGGGATCTTCCTATGTACCCCTGGTCTACCTGGAGCTCCATATGTAAGCCTATGAGACTAGGCTAGCCTCAAACTTGCAGCAATCTTCCCGCCTCTGCCTCCCAGCTTCTTAGATTACAGATGTGAGCCGCTACATCCAGCTGTTCTTTTTTGCCAAATATTTCCTAGTAGCTACTTAAAATGGACCATATTTTTTAGAGCTTCAACAAATGTACAAAGTACCATTCTAGGTCCTGGATTATACCAATAACTTAAACACAGAAAATAGAGCCTATATCATAGACACATACTTTAGTGCTGAGTTGTAAATCATAAGAACATGACATGAGGTTCTGTCAGGCTTTTGTTTTTAAAGTTGTGTTGAGTTAACATTTGACTTGTAAGATATTTTATATCCTTAAAGAACTTTAGAATTTGCCTTCTTGCTTTATGTTTATCACTTTCCCAGAAAAAGTGGTGTGCATCATGGGAAGGGAAGGAAGCAACTGGTCACAGAGAATTTTCTCTTCTTACTTTCACTTTTCTTAGCCTGCATTGAACAGGTAATTTTCTCCCAGAGGAAACTGAAGAATAGAAACGTTTTCCAAACTAATGAGAAGTGACTTACTACTATAATTACAGTGATTTGGGCAGTTAACTTTAATTAAATTATGCATTCTTATTCTAAAAGAGTAAGAACATTGGTACTCAAATATAGGTACTACTGGGTAGAAAGCAATATATATGAAAAAAATGTTGCTAAAATTTAAAAAGTGTTGTTTGCTACATTGAAATTTTTATGGATTATATAACACTTCTTTGCTAGCTTTCATCCCCTGATTTGAATGTTCTATATCAAGGGTTAGGAATTCATGGTACATTCATGATATGTCCAAGGGAGTGCCTAGCTGGATGGGGCCTCCAGTAACCACTTCTTTCTCTGCTCACAGAGCTCTATTTTCCTTTATAAGAACTAGCTAAAGGCAGCACTGTATTTCCCTTCAAAGGAATTCCCAGGTATGCATCATCTTTCTGTCTCTTCATCCAAGATGTCACTATCACCATTCTATCAACTCTCTTAATATTCTTGGAGATTTGATTCTCTATAGGAAATCCATACTGTTAATTGTTTGATGTATTAATTTTTGGATAAGCAGAGAGCCATTTTGTAGAGCCATTTTGGTTTATTTAGGAATGAAGAGAAATACCAGCAGCCTCTTCCTCCTCCTCATCCTCCTCATCTTCCTTCCTCAAGGAGGGTGGTGCCTCCCCCATCTATGATGAAATATTGATGGTCCCAATTTTGTGCAGGTCCTATGGAGGTAACTACAGCTGCAGTGAGTTCATGGAGGTAATGGCCATGACAATGTCCAGAAAACATCTCTTTGAGGCACACCACCTTATCCTCCTCTTACATTCCTTTCATCCTTTCTTATACAATGTTACCTGAGCCCTGGAAAGGGTGATATTGACGTCTTGGAATCCATCATCATATTTATTCCTGGCACTTTAACTGCTAATGAGTCTCTGTATTAACTTCCACCTGCAGCTATGGGAAGCTTTCTGGAGAAGATGAAAACAGCACTCATCTCAATACATCAGTATGCAGAAGGCAGTTTATTGTGTCCATTTGTGAAACAGTAGTAGTAGGTTTCCCTCTAGAGCCTATGTGCTCCCCAACCACAAGCTGTTGACCAGGTTTATAGATCATCTCAGGAGAAATTCTTTCATTTCTTTTTGAGAAATTGTCTTTTATTTATTTTATTTTATTTTTATTTTTTTATTATTTTTATTTTATGTATATGAGTATGTTGCCTGCATGTGTGTGAGTGCACCCGTGTTGTGCAGTGTCCGCAGAGGTCAGAAGAAGGTGTCAGATTCCCTGGAACTGTAGTTACGAGCAGTTGTTAGCCACCATGTGGGTGCTGGGAATTGAACCCAGGTCCTGTGCAAGAGCAGTCAGTGCTCTTAACCACTGAGCCATCTCTCCAGCCCTGAGAAATTGTCCTTTAAAAGACAAAATGTCACATTGTAGCTCAAGTCAAACTCTGGATCTTTCTTCTTCAGTCTCCTGAGTGCTGGGGTGGCAGACATGAGACACCACCCTGCCTGGCTAGGAGAAGTTATTTCTGATGCTGCAACTGTAATTTTTTGATTCTGTCTGAAGAGCAAGTCAAACATCTTTGGTGGCATTTCATCTGATTGGACATTTTCTGTCTGTGAAGAAGTTCATTTACTAAGTACCTTTAAGCAGTTTTGATAATCTATCTACATTTTTATACTTACACTGGAATGTATTTTTCAGGTTTTCAATTCAAAAACAGCTGAACTACTCAGTCATCACCAAGTGGAAATAAAACAGGAATTCCCAAGAGAAGGGTATGTTTGCTAATCTAAATTTCCTAATTTTTCCAGGTCATGTTTATTGATTCATCTCACCCCATGTGCCCTGTTCATTGGCACAGTAAACTTGGCCACACACCCTCCTGTGAAAGCCTGAGAGCTTAGGATTGCTCAAGAAAAGAAGCAACATGTCTGAACAATAGGTGGCTTAGTAATTCAGTGACAGAAAGAAAAGGATGATAATAAAACGAGTATTAAATATCAGAAATATTCCTTTAACTTTGGAGTCATTTATTTCTATGTCTCCATTTGTTACTAACATAATGAATACTTCACTGATAATGTTTTAGATTTTGGGGCAGAATCTTGTGACTCAGGGTTTCCCTATAACACCAGCTGGCGTGGAACTCGATCTGTAGACCAAGCATAGAGATCCACCTCCTGTGCCTCCCAAGGGCTAGAATTAAAGGTATACACCACCATTCCTGCCCCATGTTTTATGTTTTAATTTTGTCTTTTTTTTCTTTTCTTTTTCTTTTTTGCTTTGGAGATGGTGGAGTCTCACTGTGCCTCCCAATATAGCCCAGAACTTGAAGGAATTATCCTGCCTCAGCTTCCCAAATGTTGGGATTAGAAGAATGAGTCATTACACTTAGCCAATAACCATCCTGGGAATGATGGATTATTATTATGTAAAGAATAAGAAAAATAGGCTTTTCTTGATTGCTTTAAATGCAGGATACAGATATGCCTTGCTTGTCCTCATTTTCTTTCGCTTATGTACCACCTACATGCTCATAATTTAATTTTTCAATGTATATATATTATGCTTATATTTATTTCTTGGAGACTAATATTTTTTCTTTTTGTCCCAAAGATGGGTAGAACAAGACCCGAAGGAAATTCTGCAATCTGTCTATGAGTGTATAGAGAAAACATGTGAAAAACTTGGACAGCTCAATATTGATATTTCAAACATAAAAGGTATTTTAATTGAATATTTTCCTCATGTGGTATGGCTCTGTCATTCCAATTCATTGATTTATTCTTTCAGCTCATAATTGAGTGCGCATGAGAACTTGTTGCAGAATTTGAGGGCACAGCAATGAATAGGAAAATTCAGTCCCCTCTTACGGACCTTTTATTCTGGTAAACATGAATAGCAAAGAAGACAATACAAGTTAATTTAAGATACTAATATGCTCCATGTTGAAAGTAAAAAAAAAATCAGGGACATGATGAGGTGTGTCTGGAGGGCCTTACTTTAGCCTTAGGAGGTCACAATTCCATTGCTGAGATTTCAAAGGGGCCAGCCATGTGACTGACTTTGAGAATGTTTGAAGAAAAGTAAACATCACATGCAAAGACACTGAGTTGAAAATGCATTGAGATAGTCCAGGGACCCAAAAAGACCAGCATGTCAAAAGGACAGTGAAAGCAAGTTGAAGGGCAAGATTGGGTAGGTAAGTGATTTCAGGAAGTTGAAATTGGCAAAATCAGTGGGGACTTGTCAGCCATATTTAGGAGTTTGAATGTTAGTTTTAGTATCACAGAGAAAAGGTCATGACTTGCCATCAAAGACAAGTCCATACCTTGTGTTTGAAAGTGGAGTCTATTGGCCTAAGGTAGACACAGAGAGACCAATGTGAGGCTGCTGTAGAAACTCCGGGACAGTCTGGCCGTTTGATGTGCAGTGGTGACATGGTGGCCAGCAGGTAGGGCCAATACTTGCTGATGGATTAGATATCAGGGTAGTAGAGGCAGTACTAAGCCAGGGGAAGAGATAGGTCAAAGAGGAGATTTCAGGTTTTTTATTTTATTTTTCCTTTATGTGTATGAGTGTTTTGCCTGTCTCTAAGTGCACCATGTCCATGCAGTGTTGGCGGAGACCAGAAGAGGCCATTGGATCTCCTGGAACTGGAGTTAAGGACAAGTGTTGACTGCGACGAGGGTGCTGGGAATCAAATCCAGGTCCTCTGGAAAAGCAGTCAGTGCTCGTAGCCACTGAGCCAGCTCTCCAGCTCCTGCTTCATTTTATTTGGTGATGCACCTACAATGGGGCCGAATGCCTTTTACTGAAAAGAGAAAGACTAGGAGAAGGAACAGTTGAGGGAGGAGTGTTTGAAATCTAAACACTTAATAGCATTTCTCTGAAATAAATGCTTGAAAGTATGAGGTTATTGCAGATTTCTCTATGAACTTCTAGTTTCTAGTAGAATGCTTACCTATATTTAGCTTTTTATTTATTTATACAGAGAGAAAGGTGATGTAATAATTGCTGTCCCTGAGGTCTCTTGAAGCTTGTTTTATGTTGTTGGGTTTTTTGGTTGATTTTTTTTTTTTTTTTTTGAAACAAGGTCTTGCTAAATAGCCTTATCTTGCCTAAGATTTGCTGTGATTTTATTGCCTCTGCTGGAATTACTATTCCTAGTGTTGTCTTTTTCTTGCTTAGATAATTTGACTATGGATAGAAGGAACCACCTCTCCATGTAAATAGTGGTGCTTTGATTGTTAGCTCAGCTCTGAGACTTACCAGAACTCCTAAGATTATTTCCTAATTGCATTTCCTTTTTTGATTTTTTGTTGTTGTTGTTGTTGGTGGTGGTGGTGGTGGTGGTGTTGGTTTTTTGTTGGTTTTAGATAGGATCTTACTTTGCAGGTCTGGAACTTGCTAGGTAGCCCATGCTGGCCTGGAACACACTGTGTAGCCCAGGCTGCGAATCTGCTTCTGCTTCGATTACAGGCATGTGCTAACATGCCCAGGCAGGTTTAAAAACTACCCTTTTATTCCTTTATCTAAGTAGAAGTACAATCATCAAATTTTAAGTAAATTGTACATCAAAATGTTTGCTATCTATTGTTTCTTTGGGACAGTCTCAGTCTGAATAGCATAAACAATTAACAGGCACACCATTTTTCTACCAACCTGACAGATAAGCTGGATGCAATACAGCTAACATGGAATGTAATATGTTGGCCTTCCTGGGTCACCTGTATGCCATTCTTTATTTTTTTTTCTGGTTTTTGTAGTGTATGTGAAGATGATACACAGCTCTTCTCCAAGTGCCTTGTCTTCTACTTGCAATAGTTGGTCTGTAGAACTTAAACATGCAGTCCTCTTCTCTACATGCCTGCTCATTCAAAATGCAATCCGTATCAAGCTGACGTGACCTCTTTGCAACTATTAGCCTGTAGCCAAGAATGAGAGCACCTTGTAATGCCTCCCATACCAGGTCAGGTGTGCTACAGTTTTCCCGATAGTTGACTGAATTGGTGTAGGAAGGGGCAAGCTTTGGCTTTCCTATGTAGAACTCTAGGTAACACAGCTGTAAAGCTGTAGAGGATCAGCCGTCATCTAGATCAACTTCCTTTAGCTGCAGTGAGGGGAAGGGACTTATTGCAGCTAACAGGTAGCTGTTTATTGGAAGATAGCATTAAAGCACAGCTCTCAGAACTGCTATGCCAATTTTTTTCCCTCTGAGCCACACTGATGATAAGCTCACAAAACTTTTAGTTTATATTTCCTGTGTGCGGCAAGTAAATTAGCTTTGCCAGCTGACAGCAGTATTGTTTAGTCTGACCTGATAATCATTAACAGAGTTCATCAAACCTGACTGTATATCTCTCACAAATTCGTGATTCATTGATTTTAGTTCTCTTCATCTGTCAGAAAGTTTTCTGACATTGGCTGGAGAGATGAGTCAGCTGTTAAGAGCACTTGCTGCTCTTGCAGAGGACCGGAATTTTGTTCTCAGCACCCACATGACCACTGACAACCATCCATAACTCCAGTTCCAGGGGATCTGATGCCCTTTTCTGGTCTCCATGGGAACTGCATGACACAGGTGCACTTACATACATGCAGGCAAAACACGCATACACATAAAATGGAAGAAGTTAATTGATTTCAAAGCTAGGCATGGTAATATATGTCTGTATTCCTAGCACTTCAGAGGCTGAGGCAAGAGGTTTGCCACTGAGTTTGAGGCCAGACTGCTCTACTGAATTGAGAGCCTGTCTTAAATACTCCAGCATAAAAAAGTTTCTTTTTGGGCTGGAGAGATGGCTTAGCAGTTAAGAGCACTGACTGCTCTTGTGGAGGACCAGGGTTCGATACCCAGCACCCACATGGCAGCTACGAATCGTCCTTAACTCCAGTTTCAGGGGAATCCGAAGCCCTCTTCTGAACTCCGTGGCATTGCACGACACGGGTGCACTCACATACATGCAGGCAATACACTCATACACATAAAATAAAAATAATAAATTAAATTTTAAAATTTTATTTGATAACCATATAATTAGAAGAAACACTTCATTACAACAGCATTGACATATTCAATAGCAATTGCCAGAGCTAAGATGCATCTCTTTCAAAATTGGCTGTAAATTTTTAGGTTTACAGTTGAATTAATACAGTTATACAATATTGTACTCAGTATAAACCCTATAAGACATAAAATTAAATGAGGTTTTAAATTTTAAAAAAGATCTCCATTTCATTATTAAAATACACAGTTTCATACAGAAAAATTCATTTTTAATACAATTGACACTAAGATGCACATGTGTTTCTAATCTCTCTATATCTGATTATTACTAGTCACAGTCAGTTACTTTCTGAGCTCCTTGGCATCTGAGCATGGATATGTTCTCCCTCATATGTGGATCCTAGGATCAGACTCTGATAAATAAGTATGCAACCGGACATAACTGCAGGAACCAGGATAATGGAAAGGAAACAGGGAGGTAAAGGAAAAGAAATAACCTGAAAGATAAGAACAATAGGAAACAGTCTTTAATAATAAAATGTTTTTTAAAAAAAGTTTCTTTGACTAAACTTCACTGTGAACAATGCCTCTCAAATTAGAATTTCCTCTGTAGTTGAATACTGCATTCTGACCTGAAGTAAATCAATAGACTGCACAGTGTCAGGCAGCTCCAGCTCTGTTGGCCTGTGAAGGGACTTAAGAAATTACAAGAAAGGAATTGCAAAAAAGTATGCCAGATATTCTTATTCATTCTTTTCCAGTGATGGGAGCAAAACACAACATAAACTGCTTCACAAATGAAGGCATAGAATTCTCAGGGATTAAGTTCTCAAGCAGTTGTTTTGGTGGTAGAGAAAAGGAAAACCCATACACCCACTCCTTCACCCTAACTAGCACTCAACACTTCCATCAGCATCTTACTTTCATGCTACTCATGCTTTCAGAGCCTCACAGGGCTCTCAGAAAAGCCCTTTTCTCTGAAATAACTTTCTACCAGCAGCCATATCTTATTTGCTCTTTTCAAATATGCCTCTTTCATGGAAAACTATACATAATCTATTTTTTTTGGTCTTTTTGAGGCAGGGTCCCCCTGTAGCCCCAGCTGGCCTGGTACTTGCTATGGAGACCAGGCTGGCCTTCAACTCACAGAAATCTGCCTACCTCTGCTTCCCAAGTGCTGGGATTAAAGGCATGCGGAAACTATACATAATCTTTAACTGTCTGAAAATCAGAAAGGTTCTTTATTTTTAAATTAGTTTTATTATTTTATGTGTATGAGTGTATTGCCTGTATGTACATAAGTACACCCATGTTGTGCAATCCTGTGGAGGTCAGAATAGGGGATCAGATACCCTGAGGTACAGATGGATGTTAGCTGCTATTTGTGTGCTGGAAACCGACCATGTGGCTGATCTTGAACTCACTAACTCACTATGTAGCTCAGGGTGGTATCAAACTCCATCCTCCTGCCTCAGTTTCACAAGTTCTGGGATTATAGGCATGTGTCACCATGCTCAGTCTAGAAGGCTTCATAGAAGTGATATAACTCTTCCCACATGATTCTTGTAGTAGCAAGAAAGCTTTTCTCTGAGGCTCTTATTTTTTTCTGTGTTTTCAGTTTTTAAAAAAATTTGTTCCAACTATAGTTTGAATTACTCATTGGAGTTCTAGGGATCCTATGCAGGGCCTTACATGTAACAGGCACTGAGCTAT